CTAAAAGTTTCATTATGAGAAATGAAGCTATAACCATGATTATTCTCATTAGCACTTTGCCATACCCTAAAAAATACGTTGGAGTGTTACAAAAGAATTATAATCATATAGCTACATTCCTTTGCATTTGTTTGTTATCCACCTTAAAACGTTAGCTGTTGGGGGTAAGAAAGGGAAACGCGGCTAGAATTAAGAAGACACGTGTAAAGAAATCGTGATAATGCTTAACAGGAAAGGATCAGCAATTTAAATGAAGGTCAAAGATGTTAAACAACTGTATAGATAAGGCCCAGCCCAGAGAACAATTCAAGACAGCCAAACCCCAATGGAATAACAAAGTCCAAAGTGAAGTCATTGCAACATTTTTCCACAGTCCCTTGGAGGCCTTCTGGATGGCAGCATTCCTCTGCTCTTCTTATTATCATTAATCTTTGATTACAATGTAATCAAAGGTCAAAGGCCAGATCAGTCTAGTATAATGCTAAAGCCTGCTCTGCCCCTAACTAATCACTTCTCAGAACTTACCTGAAAAGCAGAAAAGGGGGACCAGATATACTTTTCTCTTGTTCTTCCCAGTCTTAGGATTTTATGATGCTTAATATTTTGCTTGTGAATTTTGTGAGGAACTTGTACAGAACTCCCTAGTAACTAGGAGACCCCTGGAGATGTGGCTATAAATAGAGCTTTGGTCATAGGGGACTTGACTCACGAGTTTCATCTTTTTATAAATGGTGAAACTTAAGATCATTAAAGAATTTCTACTTTGTTGAACAATACTCAATTAAAACACTTAGAACAGACTAAGCTGTGCCTACTCAAACTGACTGATCAATCCTGACATTTATTTAAAAAAAAAAAACTCAAAAAAAAGATCAAAAGCTAGGTACAGGACATTATCTCTTTACAGCAACGAGAAAAGCAACAATTCAAGGGGAAAGAGAGCAATTTTGTTTGAGTGAGTCAGATTTTTTTGAAGTCATTTTCTTCTAAATCTTTGTATTCTTCAAAGAATGTAATAGGATGCACACAAAGGAAGGCTTGGCGATAAGCCCTACTATTTAAGAAGTCATTACTAATGTCTCATAATGATAATATTTCCTTAATTTGAAGTAAAAAGTGGAGACAGAGAGAGAGAAATTTGTGATGCTGAAAGAAAATACTTCTGCATTGTAGACTCTCAATAAGTATTGATTGGAACTCAAAAACACTTTTACATCCAATTCTTCTACCACTGTTGTAATTATTGTTCATTCAGTCCTTCAACAAAACTCTATTAAGTCCCTGGAATGTAAAATGAAATTTACTAAGCACTAAGAGTATAAAGATAAATTGGATGGGCCCTGTCCTTAAGGAACTCACAATTTAGTGAGCTAATTTGCTGACCAGCAAGCAGCAGCAAATTTGGTGTGTACCAGGATTGAAGTAATAAGCCTAAAGGAATATTTTGTGGCCCACTGATTCATGTTTTAGATAAATCTGGGGCAAAATTTTTAGCAAACCTAACTTCTTTGTAAATGGGGACTCTCCCTCTAGAGAAAAATTCTGAAGATTAAACATGAAACAAATATAAAGATGCTATTAAGAGCCTAAAGCACTACAATCAGGCTGAATGTAACGACACAAGTAAGTTATATTCCAGATTCTTCCCAGCAGAATCAAATGTTAGAGCCGGAAAGAAATATGGAAATCGTGGAATCCAATCTTCTCATTCTACAGAATAGAAAACTGAAGTACCGAGTGATAAAGCCTCCCTTCCCTCAACTGATGGACGGAGAATGACGCAAACTGCACCTGCGGCCTGGACATTCCTGAGCACCCAACCAGGCACCTTATATGGACTGCACATTGAGCCACCAGTCAGCACCTGCCAAATACCCTAAGCCCCCGATTCCTAAGTACCTAAGTGCCTAATCATGTGCCTTACATGAAACCACCAATCAGCGTGTGCTGAGTACCTTAAGGTCCATCCCTTTCCTTTCCTCCCCTCAAAAGGCGCCTTCACCCCTGCACATGTGCTCTCCTCCTTTGCAAGGCAGCCAGGCAGGGTCCTTCTCCTCTAATAAAGCCTGTGTCCTGGTCTCAGGCCCTCTGTCTCATCTTTCACTGAGCACAAAGGAACTCATCCAAGAATTCCCAGTTTGTTAGTAACACAGTCAGATCTCTTTCTCACATCACTGTCTGACTTGATACAAAGATGCTGTGGTACATATTTCCTATCCCATACGCATGGCAAAAGAAATGGAATGTATTTTTTCCTTTGGGCAGGTATTTTATATGGTGAGCAACTCTTTGGAAGTTCAGATATTTGCTCACTTGGCAAACGTCTTTGGGGATGACTACTAGCCGCCCACGGAAGGAAAACCACAGCTTTTGAACAAGGCTTTGGGTAAAAGTTTAAGCAGCAGCAATAAATGGCAAGTGGCAACTATGGCCTCAGATCAAAGAACAACCTTTACCTCGGCACAGAGCAGTCACGACGACTGGTTGTAAAACCTCAAGAAAGACCATTCATAGTGCAACCTTCGAAACAGGATGTGAATATAGTTCAATCACGAAAAAAAAAAAAAAATCATGAGAGAATCCAAGCCCTCTTGTGCCAAAATCACAGACAGAGGATGTTAAAAGAAATGGCAGTTCTGAGAAACCCACTAGGTTTCCTATTCTCAGCTCAATTCCTAGAGTTGGGAGAAGAACCAAGGAACATGTCTCCTCTGCTACTTTGTCTGTAGGACAGGATTGAAAATCATGTTGGGGGTGGGGGAGAAGATCCTCTTAGCTCCTACAGCTTCCTTCGGTTACACAATCAAATTCCCCCAAATAACTGAGCCATCTCACAGTGTCAGCTCTAGCTGGGGGGTGACTGTAGTAGAAACTCACAGACAACCTAGATTCCATGCTGTTAAGCACTGCCACTACATTGCTATGTGACGGTAGGCGTGTCTGTGACCCTCTTGGGTCTCGGATTTTTCACTGCATAATTAGGGTTTAGCGATATCTTCCAGCACCAGCAAGACAAGGGTACCAGGCCTGGCCCATCGATGCAGTCATTTCGCTTAAACCTCCATCTAGCAGTGTGTTTTTTTCAGGGAAGTAACAAGTCTTCCATGGGGGAGAACCAGACGAGTCAGGCCACTGCCAAGTATCCCACCGTCCCCTGCCCCGGCCCCCAGGATCAGCTCCATTGCAGTTGCAACTGCTTTCCCAAAAGGTGCCTAATGCAAAGCAAACCAGCGCTGCCCTCATTGAGCCAGGGGAGCCGAGCGAGGGTGCTTTGCGATCGCCCCTCGGAGGGCCACGGCAAGTGCATTCAGCACTGTTCCTAAGCAACGGTTTGTCCCCAAGCGGGAGAGGAGGAGCCAACCTCGCACCCAGGCTTTTCAAGGCGGGGCGGGGCGGGGCGCAGGCACTATATCTCCCGGCGGAGGAGCACACACAGGCGAGCGCAGTACACGCCCCAGCCCGCGCTGCGCCTCCGGGTGCTTAGTTGGCGCTGCCGAGCCTGCTTTCCTCGCTCCGTCCGACGAGGACGCTCTGATTGGCCAGCGCGCCCCTGCAGTGGTTGGCCGGAAAGAGCGCAGCCCTCTGATTGGCTGCGCCGCACCTGCAATGCGTCAGGCCGCGGCGGGCGCCGAGGGCTCCGCGTGAGTGGTCGGGGCTCGCGGGGCCGCCCGCGGCTGCCGGGAGGGAGCGGCCCCGCCGCGGGCGGCCATCTTTACTAGGGGCAGCGGGGGCGCGCCCGTGGCGCCCTCGGAGCGGTAGAAAAGAGGTTGCGCGACCCAAGTTTCGTTGGGGTCCCCCCTCCCCCCCCTTTTTTTTTGTCCTTGGCGGTGGGGGTGGTGTGTTAGCGCAGGTCCCAGGGGTGTGGCGGGGGTAGAACGCACGGGCTGGCGGCGGGGAGCTCAGGGAGCAGAGTGGCCGCCCCGGGAGAAGGAGGAGGGTGCGGGGTTCTCACAGGGGTTTTAGGGACAGACCGCTCGGTTTGCTTTCTCTCTCCGTGCGCGGGGAGGGCGAATGGATGGATTCCTCTTTCATTTTTTTTTTTTTTAGGCGCAAACATGAGATTTGCTTCCCCGGCATCATCTTGCTGGCGGCAGGGAAGCGGTTCTGGAACGCTTTCCCGCATACGTCATGGCTGCGCTCGCGGTGCGCGGTCCCACCCCGCACGGAATGCGGTTTTTTGTTTCTGTTGTTTTTTATTTTTATTTATTTATTATTATTATTATTATTATTATTATTATTATTAAAGAACTGTACATTAGGCAGCCGTCTTGGAAGCTGTTGATCGCTCCAGAAACAGTGGCCTGCAGGGGCAAAACGGAGCTTGCCTGACAAACATGCTACGAGATGTTGGCTGAAAGAAAAGAAAAAAAAAGTGTTTTTTGATCCTATCAGCTCACTTGCCTTTTTAGGCAACTGATGTTTGTAGGTGTGTGCGCATCCGGTTTTCATGCAGTCTCTGGTGTCCACCCCCGCAAAAGAGAAAAAACTTATCTGTGGCTGGAGCGAACGTGGTGGCAGCTCAGGACTCGCCCTCTCCTCCTCCGGGTGTTTGGCTGTAAAGAATTAAAGAAGAATAATAATAAGAAGAAGAATAATTAAAGAATATGTTACCTGAGTGGGTCAGGTTAACACGGAGAAGCTCTGGTTGCCTTGGTTGGGGGCGGGAGGCGACGTCCTTGCTGGTTTTATTTGAGCTGCGTAGGTGCAAGCTCGGTGGATTGTGGTTTATCCAAAGGTGGATTCTGGCGCTGCCGTGGCGTGGGTGTTGCCATGGCTACAGGGAGAGGCGGTTGGTGAGTTGCGGGCCAATAAACCCAGCAAGGCCAGACCTCTCCAACTTAGGAAGCCTTGGTAGTAGTTGACTACCCTGGCTGATGCATTCTGGGGCTTTCCCCATTCCCAGCCCCGATCAAAATTCCTGGCTTGATCAATACAGGCAACACACGGGCCTGTCCATTCAATCCCGGATTGATGATGAATACAGGCACATTCACTGCTGGGTATGAGAAGACAGTGTTTGTACCACTTGCCTTTTTTTTTTGTTTTGTTTTGTTTGCTTTTTTGTTCGTAAGTTATTGCTCCTCTTACCTAACCTCACCAGTTTTGAGTATTTTTTAATTCTTGCCTTTTGTGCCTTTTCCCATAGGTAAACCATCCCTGGCACCCTAAAAGGTACACTCCGTGTTATTGTGTATCAGTCTGCTGTCAGAGCACTGAGCCCATAGGACATTGCAAAAGAAAGAAAACTGCAGTTTTGCATAATCTCCATATAGCAACAGTCGCTGTGCTTCCGTGGAACACACAGTGTTCTTTGGCAGCCTCAGTGCGAGGAGCCGGCACTTTGCTTGCTGTGCGCAGTAGATAGCAAAGGACCGCATTTTCCCAGAGCCCAGGTCTCTCCCCTCTCACAGCCTTCTTGTGAAGGTTGCACAAGATGTGAATTTTGCCGGCACTATGTAAATTGCAAAAACTACTGACATAATGCTATTTGACATAATGCAGCTTTTATTGAGTGCCCTAAACTGTCCTGACTTTGTGAGAGGAAGATTTTTCCTTCAGGGTTTTCTACTTTGTGGGAAGAACAGATGGACAGACTCAGATCCGAAATAAATTTTAGGGATCATAGGTTTTTTTTTCTTAATTGAAGGGATGATAGTAATACAGTCTTATTAGCATATATTGCCAGATTTACAGCCCTTGCGGTCACTAGCATATCAGAGTTTGCTTTGGAATTTCCTGGTTTTAGCCCTCAAAGGCCCATGTCCTAGAAAGCCTCTCTGTCCCAGGCAAACTGGGACAGTTGGTCAACCTTGGACTGTTTTCAGTGCCACAAGCTGGGGGGATGAGCAGAATGGGAAGGTTGTTAGTGTGTAGAGGTGATTAGGGTTCCCTGCAGCTGGAGGTTACTGGACACAGGAAAATGGATGTTCTTGTATAAAGTAAGTATGGGCTGACACCTGAAACTCGGCACATCCAAAATCAAAGTGATAACTTTATTCATCTTTATTATTCCTTCTCTCAATCCCCACACATGGGTTCTTTAAAAAAATAAAAATTATATATATATATACACTTAAAATTTTCTATCTAATTCTAATATTTATCTCTGGTAAAGGCTTTACCAAACTTGTAGTCACTTCAGAGTGAAGAAGTTCTTTGTTATGCCATGTTACTATTTGCCAGTCTGATGAAGCCTAATGCTGCCACAATTTGTTGCCCATATCCATAATTGAAGGTATGCTACAATACATTTCACGTAGGGGTTTAGTGGAAATAAAGATGTTCTACTTTTCTAGCCAAGTACATGGACTCCCTGAATTGTCTGTGGGGAAACCTGTTCTTCCACTGCCCCATTGGCAGTTCTCTTTCCACTGTCCTTTTTGACATTCTTTCATCTTTACATTTCTGCTGTCACTATCATAGTTCAAGGCCCTGTTGCTGTTTTTCTAACCCCTGTAAAGATCTTTATTGGTCTTCCATACCTAGTTCCATCTATGGCCAGCTGATGGAGTAGTTTTTTTTAATCACACTTCTGACTATATCATTTCCCTGCTCAAACCTCCCTTGGCTTCCCCTGGCTTCTAGGATTAAGTTCAGATTTCTTAGGAGTACCTTCAGGTCCCTCAATAATCTGGCATATTCATTCTTAATAACCTAGTACCCTTTCCATCTTGTAAACTTCAGCCATATAAATTGTTCTTAAGTCTTTGCTTTCCCCACTCATTCTTTATTCACTTTGCATTCTTGGCCTACCTCTCCGTCCAAAAAGTTCTAATATCCATAAAGCTTTCTTCAAATGCAAAGTCAGCTAAAATAGCCTCTCCCTCCACTGTGCTTCCTTAGCACTTCATATCATCCTCTTCTGTTACCACATTCTACTTTTTAAAAAAATACATATATTTTATTGATTTTTTTACAGAGAGGGCTAGAGAGCTAGAAACATCGATGAGAGAGGAACATCAACCAGCTGCCTCCTGCACACCCCTTACGGGGGATATGCCTGCGCAACCAATGTACATTCCCTTGACCGGAATCGAACCCGGGACCTTTCAGTCCACAGGCCCATGCTCTATCCACTGAGCCAAACCGGTTTCAGCCACATTCTACTTTTAGTAATATGATAGTATATGGTTACTCAATTCCATAAATATTTGTAAAGCACCTTTTGTAAGTGTGGCCCTGTGTTAGGGACCATCTATATATATAAAAGCCTAATATGCAAATTGTCCCCTCGGGAATTCCACTGGCATATGAGTTCAATTGCTTGCTATCATGTGCACTGACCACCATGGGGCGGAGGGAATGAAATAAGGTCCCTAGGCCTGGCCTGATCTCTGGCCAGGCCTAGGGACCTTACCTGTGTATGAATTTTGTGCATTGGGCCTCTAGTAGGGATATAAAATGAAACAGATTGGCACCTTTGATTTGGAGGACTTATATTTTGGTTGGGAGATAATGTGAACCTAAGTAACAATTTCTGTAGGGGAAACTTCACTTTTCTAGAGGGATGAGAGAAAGCTTTGTGGAGCTGGTGGCACCTGAGCTAGCTTGGAGGGTCAGCAACTTATATGGATGTACAGAGGGAAGGCAGTCCATGCAGATGGAATACCAGGAACAAAGCAAGGAGGCTGAAAAGAACAGAGTTCCCCACAGACAATTCAGGGAGTCCATGAACTTGGCTGGAAAAGTAGAACATCTTTATTTCCACTGTTTGCATGAAATCTATTCAAAACTGACAAATAGAGATTGAATAGAGATTGACAAAAGGTATCTTCTATACACACACACACACACACACACACACACACACACACACGAGGGGATGAGTGCATGAATTTGTGCACCTTGAAAGGAAGTGTGGGCTGTGGTAGGCACAAGGTCGGGTCTCGGCCCACCTTCCATATTACCATCCAGCCCCTCCAACCTCAGCTCCCAGTCCCCAGTCTGCCAACAGTCCCACTTCCACTGGGGCCACTCGAGTGATTGGAGCCGATGCCAGCAGCGGTTGTGAGCAGGGCCAGCGCTATCAGCCCCAATTGCCTCTTGGGAGCAGGGGGAGGTAGAGAAGCCCTACCAATTTAAAGTTGTCGCAAGCTCTTGTTGGGTAATTTGAGGATTTTGCACCAAAAGAGCTTGAAGAGCTTCTTGATCAAAATTGGACACACGGCCTTGACCACTCTTGTCATCTAACGAAAAATTTCAGGTGATCAGGGCTGGCAGCCGCTACTTGCACCCACTGCTGGTGCCAAGTGATTAGGACTGGTGCTGGGTACCAGCCGTGGGTGCAAGCAGTGGTGCCGGCAGCTGATGTGAATGGGGCTGGTGCTGGCACGGGAGCAAAGAATTTTCCGTAACCACCAGAGGCTCACCCCAATGACAGCAGCCAGCACCCTGCTTTGGTCTCGTGCCCCTGCTCACCTGCTCCACCATCCCACTGGGGCCAATGGCTGCCATGTTCCGCACATGCCATGTCATGTTTGGTTCCGCCTTTTGGTCTATTTGCACATTAGCCTTTTATTATACAGGACTAGAGGCCTGGTGCATGAAATTTGTGCACTGGGGATGGGGTGGTCCCTCAGCCTGGCCTGTGCCCTCTTGCAATCCGGGACCCCTCAGGGGATGTCTGCCTGCTGCCTTAGGGGAGCGTGCCCAAGCTGGCAGGCGGACATCTTCCTCATAGTCCAGGACCCCTTGCTCCTTACTTGCTGCTCCCTACCACTTGGCTTGCTGCTCCCTTAGTGCTGCCATGGAGGCTCCTGCCACCGCTGCTGCACTCACCAGCCATGAGCCCGGTTTTTGGTTGAGTGGTGCTCCCCCTGTGGGAGCACATTGACCACCAGGGGGCAGCTCCTGCATTGAGCATCTGTGCCCTGGTGGTCAGTTCATAGTGACCAGTCATTCCACCGTTTGGTCAATTTTGCATATTAGGGTTTTATTAAATAGGATAGAATATTGAACTTGAACTGTAAATGAAAAATTTTAGAAAAGAACTAAATAAAATTTTAGATATGAAAATTTAAAAATATATATATTTTATTGATTTTTTACTGAAAGGAAGGGAGAGGGATAGAGTGTTAGAAACATTGATCAGCTGCCTCCTGCACACTCCCTACTGGGTATGTGCTCACAACCAAGGTACATGCCCTTGTCCGGAATCAAACTTGGGACCCTTCAGTCCACAGGCCGACACTCTATCCACTGAGCCAAACTGATTAGGGTAATCTGAAAATTAAAAAGAAAAGAAAAGAAAAGAAAAAAGATGGGACTTTGCTTTCTGTTTTAGCAACTCTGCAAGCCAGAGGGTTTATTTTTTATTTTGATTTTTATTGATTCGGTCTGTAGGCCAGTGCCCTATCCACTGAGCAATTACATATGAATTACATATATTTAATTCTCACCTGAGGATGTTTTTAAAATTGATTTTTAGAGAGAGAAATACCAGTAGGCTGCCTCTGCACCTGTTGACCCACCAAGATCTAACCTAAACCTAAGTATGTGCCCTAATCTAGATTCCAACAGGAAATCCTTTTATGTACAGGTTGAGACTCCAACCAATTGAGCCACCTGGCCAGGGCAGATCTGTGAAAAAAAAAAAAAAAATTTAATGTACCTCCAGGCACTGGTCGGTGTGGATCAGTAGTTAGAGTGTCCTCCAATGCACCAAAGGGTCATAGGTTCGATTCCAGTTGAGGGCACATACACAGGTTGTGGGTTCCATCCCTGTCGGATTGCTTGTACAACTAATCAGTGTTTTTCTATTTTCTTCTCCCTTCCTCTCTCTGTAGAATCAAAAAAAAAAAAAAAAATCAAAACAAAAAACACATATCCTTAGAGGAGAACTTAAAAAGAAAAAAAAAATGCTGGCTTGGTTCAGTGGATTGTGCTTCTGCAGTCAGACTGAAGGATAATGGGTTGGATTCCGAACAATGGCACATACCTAGGTTGCAGGATCAATCTGGGGCCATGGGGGCGGGGATTTAGCAAGAGGCAACCAATTAATATCTCTCACATTAGTTTCAGTCTTTCTCCCTCCCATTCTCTCTCTAAAAAAAAAAAAAAAAAAAAAAAAAAAAAAAAAAAAAAAAAAAAAAAAAAAATCGATGGAAAAATGTCCTCAGGTGAGGATTAACCAAAACAAATAAACACCTATCCGAGGTGTGATTATTGACGGAGTATATGAAGTATTTGTTGAATGAATGGAAAGGGATGGGACTTTGCTTTCTAACTGTTTTAGCAACTCTGCAAGCCAGAGGGGTTATTTTTTATTTTGATTTTTATTGATTCGGTCTGTAGGCCAGTGCTCTATCCACTGAGCAAAACTGGCTAGGGCCAAAACAAAAAAACTTGAAATCCTCTTCAGTGTGATGTGGCTAGTGTTTACCACTGTGTGAACACAAATGATCTCTATATCGACAAGTGTATATGTAGTCATGCGTATGTAATTGATCATCTAATATTAAGGGAACTATTTCAATACTTGAACTGTTTGGTTTTTTATTTTTATCAAATAAGACTCTAAGGCAAAAACTGGCTATCTTTCTGCTACTAGAATTTGGAAGGCAAAACACATTTTAGCATTGTTTTTTTCTTTAAGGTAGGCATTCTAATTAATCACTGATAGCAGCGTTTTTCAAATTATAATATGCTACATTGACAAACCTGGTGTTTGACATTTTAAAGTTTTAGTCTCTTGTTTTAAATTTTGTGCTACCTGAAACGTATAATTAAATTCAACTCTGATCTGGAGTACATAAATGAGATTTTTCATGAGATTTTCCCATAAGATTTTGTTTGTTTATTATCTTGAAAACATTTTCACTGAGAGAATGCGTAGTGATTGCATGAGTAATTTTCATAGCAGTGTATCATGGGTTGCTTTGTATTCCTTCCCATGTGCTGCCCTTCCTAATTAACACCAGCATTTGCTAAATTTTATTGCAGAAAGACTGATAAGATGGAATCCTGTCATCTGGAACCTGTGATCTCTGAATTTGCGTAAAATTTGTCATTTGAGAATTTCCTCTATATATGAATAGTTAATGATGAGATAACTGAACACAAAACAAAATTTGTAGACTTCTACAACTTCTTACCTCTACCTGGAAACTTATTGCAATGATTATCATTTCAGTAAAGCAAGGTTATAGACAGTCCCAAAAGGATAAGATTCCAAGTGGCTTTAGGAATCCTGTAGACAGATTTCCTTATTGCTGGATGAACTCTATTTTAAATGGTAAAATGATTTGATCACAACATAAAAAATCTACCCCTAAAAATGATCTATAGGCAGAGCAAACATGATCAAAATCACTAGGAAACATTATTGAGCAAGGAACTCTAAAAGGTACCAGGCTTGCAAAGAATTACCCCATAGCTCAGTGCTCACAGCTAACCAGCTGTAACCTGCATCGGACAGGAACTGTCTTTTTATTTATGCTGGTTTGTTATTTATATTTACTTATGTCCTTACAACCACGTCTGACACATAATAGTTGCTAAATAAATATATCTTGAATACTTGAATCAACCATTGAGAGAGAAAGTAGTTAAATGGAAAAAAGGAAAGCTCCTTTACAACATAGCTTTTTAAAGGGAAAGTATTATGTTCTTTTTTTATTAATCCTCACCCATGGATATGTTTTTATTGGTTTTTAGAGAGAGGAAGAGAGAGAGAAACATTGATTGGTTGCCTCCTGTACGCACTCTGACTGCGGATCGAACCCCCCACAACTTGGATATGTACCCTGACCAGAAATCAAACCCGAAACCTTTATGGTGTACAGTATGACATTCCAACTAACTGAGCCACCCAGCCAATGCTATTATGTTCTTTTAAAACACCTTTATTGTGTAATATTTATACCTATTAAATTGTATGCTAAGTGTAAATTATTAAGCAAAATATTAAAGTGAACCCACCACCTATTCAAATAACTAGAAAATTACCAATTTTGTGGAAAATACTCCCAATGTCAAACTAGGTGTGCTATCTTATGGATCCTAAATGGTACTACCAAAACACAGGTAGTATATCTGTAAGTGACAGGACATGATTTTTGCACAGATTAAGAGAATACTTGTTTATGTATATTTTGAAATTTATACAGCATTTTGAAACTTATTTTCTTAATTTTAGCTCCCTAAGGAAAGAATCCACAGAAATCTAAGTCCCTCACCTTAATTTTCATTGTTTGTTGATCCCAATAAAGTTTGAGATAATCCTAATGCTGAAACCTGATTTTGGGGCAAGGAATGTAAATGCATAATTTACTTGTTAAAAAGTTCATGTATAAAAATTTATTAAATTAAAATTTTTTTTAAAGTTAGTGTGTAGCTACCTATTAAATTTCAAAGTGTCCGTTCTGCCAGTGGGCTATTCCAGTGAACAGAAATTCAAAAATAAAATCATTACCCATTCTGTGGCTTTCACTTAAATATGCAATCACAATATTTTTCTGTAGGCAATTACTTTTGGAAAAATAAGGTGCCAGTGAACATTTTAATTGAAGCTACTGTTAAAAGCAAAGTCAGCATTTATTCTTCAAAGCCTGGTGTGAAACTGTAAAACAGAAATAAAGAATTAGAGCTTTGAAGTTTCATAGATCAGGATTCAAATTTTGTCACTCGGAGCCTGTGTGAATTTGAGCAAATTAACCCCTCTGACCTATTTTTCCTCATCTGTGAAATAGATGAAAGAGTATCAACTATCTCATTGGTTGTTATAAGGGTGAAATAAAAGTAAAGCAAATGTGAAATAGCACCAAACACACAGAGAATTAAAAAGCTTGTTATGCTTAATAATGGATAAGTTGGATAGAAAAGAAATACACCAGGTCATTATTTCTGTGAAAACTCAAGCATATGTTGGGGATTTTGGAGGTTATATTTTTTCACTAGAAGGGAGGTTGGGCCAGATATACTCAGAGAAACTTTCTAATTTAAAAATCCTGTATGCAATTCACCATAACAGTTTTGGAGACTATGAATGGGAGGCATTTTGGAGGGTGTTTAATAATTATTCTGGAAATACATCCTAAGTTGGGGCAGTGGAGAAAAATCCATTTTAAGTTTCTCTTCTTTTTCTGCTGATATCCAAGTCATTTTTAATAGAACATGTGGATCATTTTCTGTTATTAATGGGTTCTAGAGTTTGATCTTCCCCAAAAGATAACTATCCTTTGATAACTGACTATGTGTGGTGGTACGGCTGTAGGGTCTGTTGACCGATGGTGGAGATTTTTCCATTTTCTTTTCAGTAGAAAAACATTGTGATCAGAACCCAAGGGCAGGATTCTTCCCTTTTGGGTGAGTACCAGCTACACATTCTCTCACTGATCCCCAAGATACATCTAGCTGAAGGGGAAATAGATTCTTGTCTGCTGGTGCCTGTGAAGTGTTGGTGAAGCACTGTTAGAATTCCCCAGGGAGGGGTCTCATGGACCCAGATAAGCAGTAATGTGGAGGTTCCTGACCAGTGGTAAACTGACCCTTAATAAAACTATGACATGGTTTACACCAGTGGTCGGCAAACTCATTAGTTAACAGAGCCAAATATCAACAGTACAACAATTGAAATTTATTTTGAGAGCCAAATTTTTTAAACTTCTAATGCTATTTCTCAAAATAGACTCACCTAGGCCGTGGTATTTTGTGGAAGAGCCACACTCAAGGGGCCAAAGAGCTACATGTGGCTCGTGAGCCACAGTTTATGGACCACTGATTTACACCATTCACCCTGGTTTCCACTTTCTCCTCTCTGGTCTTCAAGTCATGGCTTCCATTCTCGGACATTCAGGGTCTTGATTTAGTATCCTTCAAAATATATACTTTCCCCTAAAGCTCACTTTCTGGAAAAGGTAAGTTATTGATATGCTAAAGTGAAATTTAGGTTAATGTCTTATCTCAGGGATATGTGCATTTCAAACTTCTTATTTAAAAAAAAATGTTTTTATTGATTTTTTAGAGAGAGGGGAAGGGAGAAGGATAGAGAAATGGAAACATCTATGAGAGAAACATCAATCGGCTGCCTCCTGCATGCCCCCTTCTGGGGATCGAGTCCACAACCTAGGCACATGCCTTGTCTGGGAATCAAACCAAGGACCTCTTGGTTTATGAGAAAACTACCTGCAGTAAAAAGTAATTCCTTTCTTAACCTGTGTAACATCATATATGCATATCTAACGAAGAATTCTTACAAATAAAGAAAATGACAAAGTCTCCTATAAGAAAATGGGTAAAAGTCATGAGTAAGCAATTTATAAAAGGGGAAATACAAAGGATCACAAATATTTAAGAATAAAGTAGTGTATTTCTGGAGCTAATGAACAGCACAGTGACTATGTTCTATGGATTCATGCACGTTGAATGGAAATTAATTAGAATGTGGCCAACCTCCCAAGGTCCCTCCCTGGCTGGCCACATTTGGGGCAGTGCTGTGGCTTGAAGGACATCTGCAGAGTGATCAGGGTCCCTCTGGCAGATGGGTTTCCTTGGCCTGGCCTGCGGGGATCTGTTTGAAACCGGCTCTCCACCATCCCTGGATTGGAAGAGGGTGGTTCTTGGGTGATGCACCCCAGAGTCAGACTCCCTTCTCTCTGGTTCTGGGCTGTGTCACCCATGAACTGCCACTGCCAAGTCACCACAGCTCGGCAGTTCCTGCATTGAGTGTCTGCCCCCTGGTGGTCAGTGTGCATCAAACCTGGTCAGACAGTTGTTTAGCCTTTTATATATATAGATACCTGGAAGTGGCTTACCACACACCAATGGTAATTATGTGAGGGATTGGAGGTGTTAGCTTACCTTACTGTGGTAAACATTTTACAATATCAAATTATCACATTGTGTACCTCAAACTTACACTGTTACATGTTAATTATCTTTCAATAAAGCAGAAAAAGAAATAGTCTATAAAGTTCATCCTCTCTTGATTCCCAGAACTCAGTGCTCTCATCTACTTAAAAGCAGAACTGCATCTTCTTGAGCTGTTAAGATCCAAATTAGGCCTGGTCTTCTCCCAATAATATAACTTTGTATTTTCTGCTTCTGGCCAGGTGCCAGGATAGGCCAACTCAGGGACACAGAACAATTATGACCTACTCAAAACCCTAGTTCAGCAAACTAGAGGATGGCAATCCAGAGGGTGGAAATGTTCAAGTAGTCATAACAACAGCAAAAACACCTTGAATAAAACGCTATTGTCCCAAGAGATCATGGGTGTGCTTTTTAAACTGTTAAATGTCAAACTGACTGATAGAGTCAAATGTTGGTAGGCATTCAGAAGGGTTATTTCTTATCAAATAGAGAACCGTGTTGCAAAATCATTATCTGCAATCAAACAGTTGGTAATCTTGGTAAGAACCTCAACTCAAAGGCCTTCTGGGTTGTTTCCTTTTTTTATTTTTTATTTTATTTTATTTTTAAAAAAATATTTTATTGATTTTTTTTTTACAGAGAGGAAGAGAGAGGGATAGAGAGTTAGAAACATCGATGAGAGAGAATCATTGATCAATTGCCTCTTGCATACCCCCTACTGGGGATGTGCCTGCAACCAAGGTACATGCCCTTGACCGGAATCGAACCCGGGACCTCTCAGTTCGCAGGCCGATGCTCTATACACTGAGCTAAACCAGTTTCGGCTGGGTTGTTTCCTTAACTTCCCTTCAGAATTGGGTAGCATGGAGCGAGAAGTTACCATGGGATACCATGACCGGGAAGGTGATTTTACTGCTGAAAAGGTGGGCTGGCTGATACAATTTAATACCAACTGCTAAAGCAATTGAAAATTAGGAGAATGATTTGGTGCAAGCTCATGAAAAAGTCTTCAAGCATGATTTGCTCTGGTCCCCTTTTCAAACAAAGGTGCAAGGAAGAAAAATACCCCTGCATTTCAAACTGCCCCATCCAAGAACCCACAGCTTGCCTTCCATGAGGAGCCACAGAGGAAGGAATTTACCTCTAGTGGAAAGTTTACTGAATAAGCGGAGCTGACTACTTGAAAATTACCTGTTCCAAAAGCCCTTCAGAAGCCAGTAATCCTATTAGCACGGCTTCTGGAACAGTTACCTACCTGCAGTAAAAAGTAATTAGAACTGTCAGACAGCACATAATTGCTCTGGTGCCTAAATGAATGGGGACTCTTCTCTGAAAGGAGTTACTGTTCCTAAATGACTCAGCTCAGCCCATCGTCTTTGCTTGGGTTGCTGACAAATTGGGCCATCTGCCTAAACCAGGAGGAAGGGTGAAAGGCGTGAAGGAGCTTTAAATTGGAAACAAGGCAGGACAAGGACTACCCAAAGTTTATCCAGCTGAAGGGCTTTTTTCCCTTTTTCTTTTTCCTTTGAAGGGCATTTCTCAGCCACCTTCAAGCCTTTCCTGACAGCAGAGGCACTCAAGGCTGCTGGCAGCTCAAGGACTTGGCTGCTGGCTGCATCATAGGACCTCTGACTCTCCGGCCTTTTCCTCCCATTCTTTGCCAGTGCTCACTATTTTTACAAGAGAGTCTAGAGAGCAGCAATCCCCATTCCCACAGCTGGGCAACAAGGTCAAGGGTATCAAAGGAGGTCATTTCCAAAGGAAATCCATGGGAAGGGTTTGGCAAGGACAGGAGTCAATTTGTAAAAGGAAAAAAAAAAATTCCTGTAAATTGGAGCAATGCCTTTCTAATAAATAACAAAAGTCTCAGATGCTTTTCAGGACTCCCACGGGACTCGCTTTCACCTGCTGCAAAGCCAGCTCTGCTTAGCTAACGTCACTAACAGCTGGGATACAGTGGCCCCAACTCTGGGGGAGAAGATCAGAGTTCTGGCCCAGCCACACCAGAGCCAAGGGCACAGTTCTGGGCCAGCTCTTAGATTTCCCAGGCTTCTGTTTTGTCACCTGTAAAGCTCGAGGAGCGGTTATCGGTGAGGGTTCTCTACTTGGGAATTCTCTGCTAGACTTGGGGCACAGTTGGGCTGTGTGGTCCGAATGCCGGGGGAATGCTCTGGGCAGCAGCTTTGGGGATGAAGATCTCAGGAGCTCTCAGGTCTAAAGGGCATGAATAAGCCCTGGGGGAAACTTACACAAACATGGCTGCAGATTTGGGAGGCAGTAGATTGTCAGGTAGAGGACTGGCTCCATGGTAACTGTGTGCCTAGAGGCGGGTGCAAGTAACCGAACTTGCTCGGCCTTGCTATTATCCATTACCCTCTGCAAACGAGGAAGAGGAAGCATTGCAGGAAAGTCATATCGGTGAGCATTGCTGATGCAGAGAGAGTGAGTCCAGCCCCTGGAGCCACTGGCTTCCTGCTTGGTCTTCCATCCCAGTAACAGCTAATTTGGCAACTCCGCTGCCTGCAAAAACAACAGACCTTATACATCTGTCTGTGCACCAGCTCCAAGTTTAAATACTAATACTTACTCATAATATTAAATACCTAACTTAACTGCGGAGGCATTTGCTACTTAGAGACCAATAATATTGGTTTGAATGTGTTGCTAAGAAGACATGAATAATTTCCTGAAAAATTATGCCTGGGGTAGTTGCATAAATAACAGTAATTAAGCAAACGCCTGAGATGATTATTTACCAATTATTAATTCAAAGTCTATTTTCTTCCTCTCCACTTGAGATGTACTTTATTATCATATCTATGAAAAATGTTAGTAGAAAGACGTATATTTAATGAGCACCTATTAGGGATGTCACTTGACTTAATGCACTACTTTAAAAACAGTTTATCAACTATAATGCTTTTATAAATAACAATTTTTGATGCAAGGACAATTCACCTATTTTTTACCAACCACTTTGTTCAAAATACTGAGTCAGGATAGTAAAAAAACCAGAAACATTGCTTGGCAAGTGGAATGGGGAAACTGAGATAGATAGCTGAACAAACTGGCCAACCAACTTACAGCCAGCTAGAGAAGGTCACCACCCTAGAGATAGCATCTAGGTCTCCGATGTATTTCAGATCCAGGCCCAGAAAAGCAGCAGAACCAGGTGGGCAACACCAGGACCAGTTGTAATGACTAAGGTGTTGACTAATCAGTAGAGACCATGACCGTGAAAGGGAACACCTGGAAAACTGACTGAAACCCTCCCTGAGACCTCCGCTGAGATTCCCGCCTGCATGAGATAGGTAAAAACCCTCAAAACAAAAGACCCAACATGTGCTCGCTTTCTTTCTTTCTTTCTTTCTTTCTTTCTTTCTTTCTTTCTTTCTTTCTTTCTTTCTTTCTTTCTTTCTTAAAATATATTTTATTGATTTTTTACAGAGAGGAAGAGAGAGGGATAGAGAGTTAGAAACATCAATCAGCTGCCTCCTGCACACCCCTATTGGGAATGTGCCCGCAACCAAGGCACATGCCCTTGATGGAAACGAACCTGGGACCCTTCAGTCCGCAGGCCTACGCTCTATCCACTGAGCTAAACTGGTTTGGACTCACACAATGTCTTTCTCTTCCTTTTACACCCCCCCCCCCCCATGCATCTCTAAACTCTCAAGGTCCCTACAAGACTTGGAGTCAGGGAAGCAATAACCCCCTGAACCTGTCTCCAAGGCTGTCTTTTCTCTGACTTCCTAGTAAGCCAAAGAAGCTGTCTCATCCTCTCCTGTTACTTCCTCTGCGCTAAGCACTTCCTTGTCTCACTGTCCCTAGCTTAATAAGCATACCTTCAAAATCACCTGGACTTGTGAAATCTTTCCTGCACAAAATCAAGGAAGGACACACTACTGGCCGGCCCTGAGCAGACCTGCTCAGGGCCAGGTCTCCTGTCCCACAACAATATTTTCAGGCAGATTTGACCCTATGCAACTCCCCGTACCACCCATCAGACGTGTTTCCAATGGAACATCCATGTTCATTCTGTAAGCGGTGGCCTTCCCGAGCACAGGGCCAGGCACCATGCTATAGAACTGAGAATAAGCACTTGAGTGCTTTCTGCTCTCATCTCCCTTTAAGAGCTCTTGTCATCCTCAAGGTCGAAGCTTTCGAGAGCTCATCTTGTTTTTCAAGATTTCAAACTCTGTGCAGACAACTCTCAAGTCAAGGTTTTCAGCCCTGTAGCCCTCTAGGCCCACATCCCCACTCACGTGGGTATTCTATCGGAAACCAAACTCTTAACTCTGGGCCAGTCTGAGTCTGGAAGGCTTCTATTGCGTAAAATGTGGGGTGTGGGTAGGTGTGGGGAGAGGGGCAGAAGGGTTTTCTTGGTAGGAGAGCAGCCAACAGAGAATTAAGAATAAAAGTGTGTGTGTGTGGCCAAAACTGGTTTGGCTCAGTGGATAGAGCGTCGGTCTGCGGACTGAAAGGTCCCGGGTTCAGTTCCGGTCAAGGGTATGTACCTTGGTTGTGGGCACATCCCCAGTAGGGGGTGTGCAAGAGGCAGCTGATCGATGGTTCTCTCTCATCGATGTTTCTAACTCTATCCCTCTCTCTTCCTCTCTGTAAAAAATCAATAAAATATATATATTTTTAAAAGTGTGTGTGTGGGGGGGGGATGTGTTAGAGGGGGAGCACTGCCCAGCTCCTGGGGACCCTTCAGACTGGGAGGAGGGAGAGAGAACTGAAGCCATTAGCATTTGTGTTTGACTGAAGAAATGATGGGTGGCGTCCGTGTTCAGATGGATTGAAAGGAGATCAGGCAAGGGGTTCAGCTAAGGGGCTATTTTAATATAAAGTGTAACATCATGATAGCATTGATTACATGACAGACCATTTTGATCCTTTTGGAGGAGGAGAGGATCATAAACCCTTTGAGAATAGAATGAAAGCTTGGAGGTCTTCTTCCCAAAAAAATATGCACTCATGTACCCAGCAGGCGATGACACTATGTATAATTCATGGGACCCAGTGGGTGATGAAATAAGTAGATTTGGGATCCCCAAAGGAAACAGGAAGATTTGCACAGGGTAGCTGAGAGAAGTCAATAGGAGACTCAGAAAATGAAGTCATTTGGGAAAGAAGGGAACAGGTTTTGTTTCATGGAACAGACATGTAGACACATGGAGATGTGCTTTTGGCAGCTGTACAGGTGTCTGGAGCTCTGAGGAGAGACCTGGCCGCATGGCTGGATGAGGAGATCTGAGTCATTCGAGTCAATTGAAAGAGTTTACATTATGAGAATGAATGAGCTCACTGGGTTAACAAAAACAAACAAACAAACAAAACAGCAGAAAGCAATCAATAAATGATGGAGGCGTAGCCCTAGCTGGTTTGTTTCAGTGGATAGAGCATCGGCCTGTGGACTGAAAGGTGGGGGTTTGATTCCAGTCAAGGGCACATGCCCAGGTTGCGGGCTCAATCCCCAGTAGGGGGCATGCAGGAGACAGCTGATCAATGATTCTCATCATTGATGTTTTTATCTCTCCCTCTCTGAAACCAATAAATAAAAATAGATTATAAAAAAGTATACTTTTTATAAATAAAAAATAATGGAAGCATAAATATATGGATTTGGGATTGCTGTTGCAAAAACCATACCTAAAAAAAACAGACACTAGGTGAATTCCTAAGTAAATCATTGCATTAATATGTAAAGCTTAAAAATCAAACGCAACTTGTAAGAATCAGATCAGGTTAGAAGCTGACCATTTAAAGTGATAGTTGAAATGAGCTTTAGGTGAACAGATACATCAAGATGGCTAAACTTTTCTCAGTCATTTTCACGGTGATTATGTGTTGCTGTGGTAGCAGTGTACGTTCGCATAGTGTGTCTCTGTAATCCCGGCTCTCTGCCTGCATCACCTGAGCTGGCAGCTGAAGCGGCAGGACCTTGACCCTGTAACCTGCACTCACTGGGGCTTTCTGGAGATTGATCTCCTGGGAACCGATGTGTAGACTGCTCTCCCAGGAGAGAGAAGGGAAATGATATGGGTGGTTCCCAAAATATCCAGGCTGCTGCCCACTATTTTTGAGAAATCAGCACTCTGACATTCAGCTTTGGGAATTCACCAGTTCTTCTAACTGGAGCAAGGGGCATACCTATTCCAGAGACTGAGGTGGGACACAACCCTGAACCCTCCCTCGGTCACTTTTCCAGCCTGTTGCCACCTTCCCACAGGGTCTAGTGGTCACTGGACTGCATGAGTCCAGCTGGGACCGAAAACACTATAGCCACGAACTACCCTGGAACTGAACACTAGTTCTGATTTCTCACAACCCACATCCTATTTACTGAACTATTTTAGTCAAACACAAGTACTAATGGAGACCATGATTTATTTAACAAAATAATTGTCGCAGTTTCAGAGGCCCTAAGTCACCTTTACTTCCCATGAGCTATCTAGCTTTGGGGACCCATTCAGATAGTTATAACAGGCCTAAAAGAACTCCACTCCCCAGAACTTGCAACTCCTGGAACACTGTTGCTTGTTTAACTTTATTATATTGTCTCTTATCAGGAAACATCAAATGACCAGAGAGGTGACGCAAGCCAAAGAGCCCAGTGTCTAGCCCTCTTATCAGATGAGCCATTTTTTTGGGCGAACCACAACTCTGGAGCCTTCACTGAGGTTTGGAATGAAGATCCTGAGGCCCACTCCTTTCCTCACATCCAGGAAGGACCACGGGGTCTTTGGAAGGGTTGAAGCAGAAGAAAATTGTTTCCTTGGCTCCAAAAAGCAAATTATCCACAACAGCCTTGGTCGGCTCAGTCGGAGGGACTGGGCTGGCTTGTGGGGACCTGTCCTGGGTAAGGAGCTCCTAGAGGGGCCTTTGAAGGCCTCATCAATAGAAGGGGTTTAAGTCAGGGAGGAAGCAGGTAGAAGGGTTAAGACCCCGAGAAGCCGCCAAAGCCGGTTTGGCTCAGTGGTAGAGCATCAGTCTGCGGACTGAAAGGTCCCAGGTTCGATTCCGGTCAAGGGCATGTACCTTGGTTGCGGGCACATCCCCAGTAGGGGGTGTGCAAGAGGCAGCTGGTCGATGTTTCTCTCTCATCGACGTTTCTAGCTCTCTATCTCTCTCCCTTCCTCTCTGTAAAAAAAAATCAATAAAATATATTAAAAAAAAAAAAAGACCCTGAGAAGCCATCTGAGGTCCAAGGGTCTCGGAAAGGCTGTAAGCAAGGAGCAGGTTGGGGGGTAAGAAGTGAGGGCTCAGCCCAGATAGATGCTTGTACGACAGACGAGTGAACTGGGACCATCTCTGTGACTGAGGAGGTCGTGGCACTGGGGCCACCTGTTCCAATTGAGGATGACCAAAGGGAGAGCACAGAATGGCTAACTAAGATGTGCCAGAGCAGACCAATTAGGAAAATTCTAGAAAATGGAGATTCTGTTATATTTTTGAAACAGAAATAAAGTGCCTAAAATTAGAGTTTGACATTTCCTTGTGCGATGGGCATTTTGTATAATTTTGCAAAGGACTAATAAGTGCTCATTAGCCACACAGCTCCCACCAGCTTCCTTCTGGTGTTTTGTGCCGCCTGGTCCCAGCTCTGGTAGCCAACAGCCACTGGGGCGTTAGTGATGCAGCAACTTGTCATCAAGTCTATTTTTTGTGGAGGAGAGAGGTCTTTCCTTCCTGCCTTCATTCTTGTTATTGAATAGTGGTCCCTCGAACCAAGCACAAAGCTCCCCTTCCTATTGGCACATTGAGGGTCAGCAGGCAGAGTGGGCAGAGCTGCTGGAGGGAGCCTGGGCCCTCCTGGCTGTGTGTTTACCTCCTCCAGCTGGCTGGCCTGTGTGCAGCCTGGACTCCCACTGGGCCCATGTGCTGCTTCTGTCACCTTGCCACTGGCTTCTCCTCACTCCCCACTGCTCTCCTCCCTCTCCTGTGATCGTGGGAGCAGCTCAGCGAGGCCCCCTCTAATCTTTCCTTGCCTCCCTGTGAGTTTTCCAGCAGGGGCCATGTTCTACATGGGGTGCCCCTCCTGGGAATGACACGGGGTTTCCAGGAGGTAAAAAACAAAAACCAAAAATCCTGGCGGGGAGGGGGTTGTCATCTCTGTATGTTCCCTCAGCCCTTAGAGGCCAGGGCAGTGGTAGGAATCTGGTCCGTGCTTACTAAAAGAAATATAAAAAGGAATCAAACACATGGACACATTTAGGGCCTGGCAGTTCTGAGAGTTTGTAGGATGATACATGTCAGTAATTTAAAAATCTCAGTTGCTTCTAGCTATTATACTGGGTCCTATGGA